TTGAGATAGCAATATTCAAATTAGTTTTTTTTTTGTCTTTTTGACAAGTATTCTTTGTTGTGTCTTGCTTAGAAAATTATTATTGTATCTTTATTGCCATATCTACCTGAATTTTTTTATAAGTGCTCAAATGTGTGTTTCGTAGCTCCCATAATCATTTTTACTAATTTAATGCACGTTTGGTAGTGCTTCCTGTGTTTCGATCAAAGTATCCTAGTAGATCACTTTTCACGAGTGAGAGACATAATGACCCAACTGCTGGAAGTTAGAAATGGAGACTGGAGGAATCCCAAAAATGGCATGGAACTTAGTCGATCTAAGCCTAAAATGGCAGTTGAGGCACCAGATCAAGCCATAAACGTGTATAAATGCTTTACTTTGAGTCTACGTTGGAAGATACGCCAAAGGAATTTGTCCATAGAGTTTTGTTCATACTTTCTCTCATAGAAAACATGATAAAAGAGGTTATAAACAGACCATCTAGGCCTTCATTTGAGACATAAGTTGAATAGCGGAATTAACTAGTTTGTAAAATATTAGAAACCTAAGGGCATAATGTCAATCATTTTTAAGGCCTTTTGTAATCTCATCTTTGACTAATGTATTCCCAATCCTGACCCTATGTGTGACTAGTTTGTTAGGTTTGTAGGTTTGCAAACTCTAAAGGTTCCCTAGATGATGTAACGTTTTATTCTCGGCTATGTATATCATATTTGTTTGAATCCTCATTATTATGTTTAATGCGTTTGTAATATCATCGTACACATCTCATACTTGGGTGGATTGTAACAAGGAAGCCTACAGAAATTGGCACATTGAATGCTTACATAGATTGTGCGTAACCTTCACTGCATAACGTCACATATGCAACATGTATGTTGACGATCCCACGTCTACATAGTACAGAACCCACGATAACGTCGTTATGCGGGGATGGCAGGACAAAGGATCATATTTAGTGAATGAATCAGTTATCAATTCACTCAACCACGTATTTGCATAACCAATATCATAGGGAAATGAGTCTAAGGAAATCTAGGGGGAGTTGGCCTATACACTGCCTCTCACTTTTATTTTCCCAAATCAATAGTGTAGTTTGTGGAGGCCCTAGCCTTGAGGATGTTGGTTGACTTGTAGCGCAATAGTACAACAAAAATCCGCATTCTTACTCCCCTTGCACTCGGTCTCAGGAAGATAGATGGGACGATTCAGGTGAAATCTAACGTAGATCCAACTTTCTACTCACTCGTTGGATCCGGGCGGTTACGTGCATGGACAACTTTTGCGTAATCACCCCGCTCCTAATAGCAGCTGTCCTAGGATAGGTACCTAGAGTTTGACCTGCCGGACAATAGCATCACAATCTGTGGCGACCACATGTAAGGGTTTTCCTTTATAAAACAGTTTCAGTGACGAGGTTTAATATGTAGATGAAATGCAAATTTGAATAAAAATTCCATTTATATCTACAAGCTAAAAGAGGAGTTGGATGACAATGATCACTACAACAAAACCTATATATAGAGGCTATGAAAATTTGCTTCTACAAATTATTATTTGCATCTATACACATTTAGAGGCAAATAATTCATTTGCCTCAAATACTCCAGTTGCTATAGCTTTATATAGGCATATATAGAGACAAATACTATTTGTTGCTGATTAAATGATCTGCAACTAATATTTTAGCCGCTAATGCAATCGTTTGTTTGCCTTCATATCTAATATTAGAGTCACACATATCTGCCTCTAGAATGATCTATATAGACTAAAATAATGTAAGATGCAATTTATATTTCTCTTATGAAACATAATTTTTTCCTTCTGTATTGTGAAACTCAATAGAGAAATTTTATAATGCTATATAGTATTGATGCTATAGGTTTTTGCCTTTATGGTACAACTTAAAATTGTACATTTATGTTATGGTACAACTTTAGATTGTACCTATACTTTTTGTACAAATTCTTTTATGGTAGAACTTGAACTTGTACCTTTATGTGATGGTACAACTTCAAGTTGTAAAGTTGTACCATAACATAATGGTACAAATTACTTTATGGTACAACCTAAACTTATACATTTAATATTTTGGTACAACTTTGAGTTGTACATTAAAGCACCAATGCTATATAGCATTGTAGAAGTGCTCAACTCAATATATACCAATTATAAAATACTAACCTGGAATAGCTATTGATTATTATTTATAATAAAAAGGAGAGTACAACAGAAACAATCTCTCGAATATCATTCGTAGAAAAAAGTCCTCAATATCGGAGTATCTAGATTCCAGACTAAACTTAAAATAATACAGTTGAAAAAATTAATCTGACTAACATAACATGAAGGAAAGATCGAAGTTTCGAGATCCACCACACAAATCCTTCCAACGTCAGAATTGTCGCCCAAATCCTTGTCGCCGGCGAAGACATAGGCTGGCTCATTGGCTGTCAATCTCCATTTGGGCTGCTCGTCTCCATATTGGTCTCCTAAATTGTCTCCACCTCTAAAAGCAAGCTCCACACGGACAAGACCTTCTAAATATGCCGTCAAACATGCCGGTATCTACCACTAACCTTGCCGAGAAACGACCCCATATCATTGTCGCCTGGTCCCAACATACCCATATCATTTCCGTGTCTTAATTGTTTCGTCTAAGTGATCATCACCAATCTTCGTCGGATTTTTTAGGCAGAGGTAGAGCAGCGATCTGGAGATTAGGGTTAGGATTTTGATGAAGAGGTACATGAGAGCGATTAGTCGACGGGATTAGCTTACCAGAGATTGAGATTGGGGTTTTGAGGAAGAGGGAGAGATATTGGGGATTTGGTTAGGTGAATTGAGAAGAAGAAGCTCGCAGGAAGGCGACGGTGGGAGTTATGTTTGTTCTCCTAAAAAATAATAAGACTGTCTTCAATGTAGCCTGCATATTTGGGGGAGGCGGCATTTTTGGGGGAGATTGAGGTCCAATGGGGCCTGCATATTTGGGGGGGGGGGGGCATTTTTGGGGGAGGGAGGCATTTTGATCCCCAAATTTGGGGGAGCAAATGCCGATGGCGGCATTTTTTGGCGACCAGAAATTTCGGCTGGGCGGACGACTGCCAACCCAACCTTTTTTAATTGTTAAATAATTAATGGATTGTTAATTAAGGGGTCGTTTGGATGGAGCAATTGGGAAATGAAGCAATTTGACTCAATTCGCTCATTTTTAAAAATGAGTCATTTGTATGAGAAATTTGTGTGAAATTGTCTCGTTTGGTTTGTTTATAAGTTGAGGCAATTCGAATGAGACATTTTGTCCAAAATACATTTTTACCCTCCTTTTTCTCTACCTCTTTGTAAGCGACCAGAATCAAATCCAAGATCAATAGAAAAGAGATCCTTCAGTATCATCGTTGTGCACAACAAGATCATCAATCCTTCCACTGGCCACTAGTAATTAGGAAGCATGGGAATGGTAAAATTCAATGATTGTTGTTGTGGCCTCTGTTGTATTATGGGGTAATGGGAACAAGGTCCGCCCCTTGAGCATCAAAACAATGGAAACAAACCCAAGCACATGGAGAAGTCTACCCAAATCAAGCAATCTGATTTTCTTCTGAATCAAACAAACCCCCTTATAGAAATAGAGCATGCAAAATATGAACCTAAGCTTCACTGAATTTGAAACCGTATGAGAAATAGAAAAAATCTAGATCAACCCACAACTTAACTACATGCAGAACTACCAATTGATTTCTACATATTCATCATCGCAAGCCCAAACGAGCAACACACGCAGGTCCTCTCTTCCCTCTTCGTCGACGAACTTCCCGCTTCATCTTCCGACTTCACCCTCTATCCAATGAGGTCTCTCCAATAGAAAGAAACAATAAACATTCCCTTTCATCATCGTTGTTACATGAAAGAAAAAGAGGACATAGAAGAGAAGGGCGAAATTTTTTTGGCAGATTGTTGCCAAGAGAGAAAAAGGAAAGAGAAGAAGAGAAGAGGAAGAGCTCCTAATTGTAGAGGAAGGAAAGAAGATGGAGAAAAAAGGAAATAGAAGAAGCAATGAGGAAGGGTTCCTCGTTGCAGTGAAAGAAAAAAAGATGGGGAAAAAAGAAAAAGAAGAATAGAGGATGAAGGGTTCCTCGTTGCAGAGGAAGGCAAGAAGATGGTGAGGTTTATTATGGGGAGAGAGAAAGTGAAAAAGAAAGTGTAACACTTGGAAAGAGAGAATAAAAACGAACCAATCATGATTACCTCCCCCACCCTAAGGTATTCTCAATTGACCCATAATGGTGCAATTTCAATTTTCACAGCTCAAATTGTTTCGTTTCAATTTTGTGGAGTCAAATAGGTCAATTTGGCTCAATTGCCTCATAAAAAGACCCATCCAAACGCCTCCAAGGGAATTTTTAAAGGATAAAAAAGGAAGGTGTTTACTTAAGGAAATGAGAATTAATGTTTGTAATTTTTTTTAGACTTCTTTAATTTGTATTTAATTTCTTTTATTTGATAATATAACTTCAATTAAATTCGTTTTATTTAAACTTTAAGTTTATCATCTTGAAGTTGTATGTAAATAAAAATTAGACCGATATATTATTGATATGAAAATGCGTTCTTGAATTACAAAACAAATTGTCACCAATTGAATTACAAAGCATCCCGACATCGATACCAAGCAACAACAATGACTAATTATTTCAATCAAAGTTCCAAATATGCTCGACCAAGTCCCGACGAAGCCCATGATGTATTGGTGCAGCACGAAGCTTATTATTCCTAGTCAAGTATTCAGTTAGGGTTGGAATATCTATGTCGGCATTTAGTTGGTTGTTGGTCATGTACCTCATAATCTAGATTATCTTCCATCCCATCGTCAGAATCAACCTGCTCATCCTCGATTATCATGTTGTGCAATATAATGCATATCAAAATTATATCATTAATTGTGGCAACATCCCAAGATCTCGCAAGGCCACAAACGATTTCCCATCTAGCTTGAAGAATTCCAAATGCCAGCTTTATGTCTTTTCGATGTGCTTCTTGACATCAAGCAAACAAGGCTTCTTTGTCTGAGCTTGGACTGCTGAATGTTTTCACTAAAGCTGACCACGAAGGATAAATACCATCAGGCAAATAATAACATTGATAATAGGTATGACCGTTTACCTCAAATCGTACTTGTGGAGCGGTTCCGTTGAGGATACAGTCAAACATTGGAGGCATCTTCAAAACATTGATGTCGTTATTCGATCCAGGCGGGCCGAAGAAAGCATGCCATATCCAGGTGTTGTACGAAGCCACTGCCTCGAGAATGATTGTTGGTTTACGGTTGTGCCCAATGTACTACCCAGTCCAAGAAGTAGGACAGTTCCTCCACTCCCAGTGCATGCAATCAATTGATCCAATCATACCAGGGAATCCACGTTGAATCCATAGATCAGCAGGAGTTGGTGCACAGAGGTATGTCGATGAGTACATCCCGAAAATGGCTCTGCAAAAATTCCTGAAAAATTCCAGCACAGTGTTCTGACCCATACGCATGTAGTCATCAAGTTGATCAGCTGGAGAGCCATAAGCTAGCATGCGCAGTGCACTAGTAAGCTTTTGCTCCGGCGATAGGCCTAGGTGACCAACGACATCACTCCTTCGTGCAAAAGAGGGATCATACCTCACAATGACACCCATTATGCGATTGAATAGTCGTAATTGCATACGAAAACGCCTTCTAAATATGAGGGCATCATATGTTGGATTTGGATTGAAGTAATCCTGCAAGAGACGGTCATGACCTGAGACCCATTCACGATCAATGCAGGTGCGACTTGTTGAACAACGAAGTGAGGATGAAGCTTCCTCAAGCCTCCGCCTGATTAAAGCCAACCGGTGATAGTTAAACATATTCAACACTTCTATCTCTTCTTCTCCTCCAGACGATGATTAATCTGAGAAACTCATGATGGATGTGTTTATTTTAGAACTGGGAGGAAGTTTCAAACAAGTATAAAATTGATGGCAAATGGGGGATTTGCATTTATACTCAAATTTTTCTGACCTAACGATCATATTCAAACATATGCTACCTACCAACCTTACCTAACGGTCATATTAGAACATGTGCTACCTACCAACCTTACCTAACGTTCATATTCGAACATGCGCTACCTGCCAACCTTACCTAATGGTCATATTGAAACATCCTTACCTACCAACCTTACCTAACACCTACCTAACGGTCATATCCAAACAGTCATAACATAACGGTCATAAATTCTCTATATATTCAGACATCCTCTCCTCTCTCTCTACCATTCATTCTAACTAAATTGAAATTTTCTGTTAGTCTCATCATTCTTTCTATCATCTTTGTCTCTCTAAAAACCAAACAATGACAAGCAAGAGAAAAGGGAATTGGAAAGTGGAGGAAGATAAGAACTTGTGCAGTTCTTGGGTGTCGATATCAGAAGATGGAGTTGTGGGCGTCAATCAAATGGATAAAAAGTTATAGGATAGAGTGGCGGTGCAATTTTGATCGAATTATCGAAACACATCTCGTACTATCAAAAGCATATCTAATCGAATGGGCACAATCACCAAATACTACAAGTGTTGGAATTCAGCTATCCAAAGGGAAGAGAGGAATCAACCAAGCGGCACGAATGAAATGGATGTGGTATGAATTCTCCATCACCATCACTATTATTTTCTAACTCGTTCATTAGTATGTGTGTTCTATTTTCTAACTCCTTTTCCATCTCATTCATTCATATGTATAGGAGCATATGGCAGAACAACTATATTTAAGTGAGACCGAAGAAAAGGGTTGGAATTTTGGTCATTATTGTTGGATCTTGAAAAGATGCCAAAAATTTCATATTGTGATAACAATGCCGTCTTCAAATCAAAGCCGCATGAGTCAATGTTCTGATGGTTCTCTTATGGGTCTTGGTTATCAATCAACGCCACAGACAAACCTCAATGACACAGAAGGAGACGAAGAAACTCCACCATTCGTCGGAGAAACTCCACCCTTCGTCGGAGAAACTCCACCATTCTTTATATTTCGCCCTACTGGACGCGGCATACAGAAGGCTGCTAAGAAGAAAGGAAAGGGAGCTGCTGAGTCATCAGAGAGCTACACTGCTCAATTGATGGAGTATGGAAGTGAGTTGAAGGAGAGACATGCTTCGAGGGCTGAGTATGAGCGAAGAAGGATGGAATTCCATGAAAAAAAATCAAAGTGTGATCAAGAAAAGTGGGAACTTGAGAAAAAAGGGAGTGAAGCAACACTATTTCGGAACAACCTTGATCTTCTTGAAAAGGACTTTTCGAAGTTGACACCAAGAAAGAGGAAGTTTTAAAAAAGTTATCAAAACATGCTCCTAGGGTATGATCAAGATGATCCCAACTCTATTACCGACTATTCATCCAACGCAAGTCAAACAGGAGGTGGAGATGGAAGTGGAGGAGGAGATGAAGGTAGAGGAGGAGATTACGGGAATTACTATTCTCTTCTGGGCGATTACTGACATGTTATGTGTTTCCTTTTTATCATTTCAAGTTCTGTGTGTTATTTTTAAGCTTTATCTTTTTCAAGTGTTGTATGTAATATTTAAGCTTTATCATTAGCAAGTGTTGTGTGTAACCTATGAATTGTACCATTTGAATTATTATTATGTCAACTCCTTTAGCTTTATCATTTTCAAGTGTTGTGTAAACCCAAATTAAGTCCATAATTGTTCGCCGAAAAAAATTCGATCTCAGAATTTAACAAAATTCTAACGAAAAATTTGTATTTAAAAATGATGACAACCTATACAAAAATTAACATGAACAAATTATATTAAGTCTTCGATAAGTACATTTTAAGTAAATGGAAAACTGGAAAAATTAAGACCCACAAATATGGAGATTGAAGTATTGGAGCAAAAGAAGGGAAAATGGGGAGCAATCTCCAAATTTGGGGATGAAGGCCCCCAAATTTGGGGTTTTGCATTGGACTTGGCCTAAGAGAAGAGGGAGGTAAAAGAGTGAGGCCCTAGGATAAAATTGGACATTGCTTGAAATTGGACTAAAAAATAATTTGAGTGGGCAAGCCTGAAAAGATTGGGCGGGCGCTAGGGAAGTTTCAAAAGAAGAAAAATTTGGTGGGACCCTCTCTCTTGTTTTATTCACATTTCATATACTAAAATACTGATTTTTTATAGAATTAAATATTGACTTCAAGTTAAGTGATTCATGTTTTTTAAATTAATTAAAAGTGAAATATGAATATAAAAGGTAATAGCTATAGTGGCAAATACTAACATCTATAGAGGCAAAAAAAATCATTATTCATATTAAAGCATTTGAAGTTGCAAAACTTAAGAGTTATAGAGGCAAATTATATATTTGTAGTATCTTTCATAATTTTAGAGGCACATAATTGTATCTTTTGAGGAAAATTGTATAATTGTAATATATCTCATACTTTTAGAGGCACATAATTGAACCTGTTGAGGCAATTATATATTTGTAGTATATCACAACTTTTAAAAGCACATAATTGAACCAATTGAGGCAAATTATATATCTATTGCATATGATATCCGTTTAGAGATAAATATAATATTTGCCTCAACAATTAGTCGATATATGTGGGTTTTGTTGTAGTGGATGGTTCTCCTGAATAATTCCATGCACGATCATTTTAGATAATCGGTAAGAGCTAGCCTGTCAAACCTAACATAGTTCTTGTCTTCAGTGGCGGACCTAGTAAAGGGCAGGGTGTGTCATGCGACACACCCTCGCCGGGAAATTTTGTGAAGCACCTACATATTTTTTGTACAAATTTTTTTTAATTCGGGACTTCCGACATACCTTAAATAATTGTGAGCGACACACCTTCATTATACGAGAATGATTTTCTTGTTATGAAGTTATTTATCTTAATTAGTAATACACAATAATAAGTAAAATCAAATAAGTATGCTTGTTTTAGAGTAACCCACACCACAACCTAGGGATGGCAATGGGGCGGGTTTGCGTAAACCAACCTCATCCCCATTTCCAAATATTCAAACTCATACCCGCCTTTTACCCATGCAGTGGAAGGCCTTACAAACTCATCCCCATACCCGCGGTTTATGGATACCCATGGATAATACAGCCCCATCAACTACTCACCATTAATAAAAGAATATGGTGACAAATATGGATACTACCCCCAAAATTATGGAAATAATACATAAGAGGATGAAATTACGGTTTGGTTGCCATCAATTACATTTTAACACTTACTTTTTCTTTTAATTTCCTTCATTTGATTGACAAGTTACAATACATTCCTTATATTTTATGTATATAACATAATATCATTGGTGCCTTATTTCATGGTAGTTACCTCTTTCTTATTCTTAAGCAAGTCCCCGAGAGGGCATAAATGATCCTTGATTTATGTTTCATCTTTCGTTTCCTTTTCTTTTGCTTGAGAAATAGAGATCAATTCCGATTCTTTCTTTTTCTATTGATTCTTTTCCGATGGCGGGTTTGGGTATGGGTATGGGGCGGGAGAGTCAAAAACCATACTCCCCCCATACCCATCAACCTTTTTGGGGTTTTATACATACCCGCCAATACCCAGTCAGCGCAGGGATTCCCTAAGTTGACTGGGTTGGAGGCGGTCGGGTACCCGTGCCATGAGTTTGGTTGCCATCCCTACCACAACCCAACAATGGAAAAAATAAACATAACCCCATCCTTTGAAACTCACCTTTGCCACCCCTTAACCCTTTCTTTATTGAAAATAAAAAATGAAATAAAAAACCCACCCTTACCCCGTTTTAGTTTGTAATTGCCGAGAGCCACTACCACATCTCCCTTTTCTTTTATCCTTTAGTTTTACTTGCTTTTGGAAGTTGGTGTTGAATTTACATGTTGCAATTGAAAGCTGCGAAATATTTCAGCTATGAAGATAATCAAGAATGAACTTCGAAATCGGTTGAGTGACAAATTTATGAATCATTGTTTAGCTGTATATATCAAAAAGGATTTGCTTTGCAACATAAGCAATGAATGTATTTACAGACATTTCAGAACATGAAAAGTCGTTGGATGGAATGGATTAAGATAAAAGGAATATCCACTAGAATGAAATCATACATATGTCATGAGTTGCACTACATGGGCATGACTACTCGATGAAGAAGCATAAGCTTTTAAAGCTCTTTGTTGTAGCTTCTGTAATGATGCAACTCTGTTTCTCTAAGCTTGTTCAAGTTGTTGCCTCCTCTTTGCTTCTTCCTTCTCTTTCTTCTTCTCTTGTACCTTAATTTTTCTTGCTTCATCGTGGAAGGTTTTGTTGTTCCCCAGTAGACCACATTCCGTACACTTTTACTGCTTTCTTTCAGGTTTTGCTTTGTCCCTTCCATCCTTCTTGTGTTTCTTCTTGGTTTTTTCAGCCTCCTCGAGCCCCTTTCTTCTTTGTTTCTTTGGCCTCCCTCTCTCTTTCAATTCTTCAGGAGGAGGAATACCAACATCTCCCAACTCGGAAACTGGCCAATTGTCCCTACCAGTAGTAGGCAAAATGGAGTAGCTATAAATCGCTGGAGCAGTCTCCTTGGTGTAGCAACCAACAACATAGTCTTGCACATGCAGGTTTGCCGTATGAATGGCTTGAATAACATGCTGGCAAGGAATACCAGTCAAGTCCCATTTTATGCTAGTGCAAGTCTAATCTTTCAAACTCACAACAACATGCTTGTCGTGCCACCTTACTTCAAACTTCGTCTCCCATTAGACACAGCAACCCACTTCACAGCTTGTCTAGTCAACATCGAAAACTTTGTCTCAATATTTGGACAATAAGGACCAACCCACTTGACACATCCTGTTGTCGTCGGGCGTATAAAACCATCAGATTCCTCCAGATACCCTCCCACATGCTGATTGGACCCAAATCTCTCTCTTCTAGTTTCACATTATTCCAACTCCCAACAATATTGCTGGTGTGTATCCACCAATAGGTG